CTTTCTTCTTTTATGTATATAGCGTGAGCTGTTAAGTTTTCATGCGTATTACATCGTTTCCATGACAACCATGACAACAAATTGCCTTTTCTTTCTTCACTCCTCAAACTTGCTAACGGCTGCACACAAACTTGGTACGCATACGTATTACATCATTTCCATGACGACAGGCATTCTCTTATTAATTTTTATGCCCCCTTCCACAGAGATAATACGTAGTAGTATATAAAAATGAGTGGAGACAAGTAAATTAAAAATCCTGCGAATTTAAAAAAGAGGCATATAGGGATGGTATAAAAAGAAAGGGAGACAAGATAGGGATGGGATACATGAAGCATGGTTTATGAACACATTTGAGTACGCTGACACCCCGACCCCATCACATAATCCCTATATTGTTGCCTAGGTGAAGTATTACACATTCACCCATTACAATACTCAGAACTTATACTATAAAAAGTCATGCTACTGAGTAACCAACACCATTATAGAGTCCAAGTGGAGTTTAATTATAGGGAATGTGGCAGTATAAATTTTACTAAAAACAACAGGGACACGGTGAAAGGATGCTTGCTTTTAGCCCTTACAATTACAATGCGACATTCCTTATAAGAGTAGCACACCAGGCAACAATATAGGGATTATGTGATGGGGTCGGGGTGTCAGCGTACTCAAATGTGTTCATAAACCATGCTTCATGTATCCCATCCCTATGATGTCTCCCTTTCTTTTTATACCATCCCTATATGCCTCTTTTTTAAATTCGCAGGATTTTTGCCCGTCGTCGTCGTCGTATATACGTCATACGTCGTGTAAGTGCGCATGTGCGGCTTTGTACGCGCTTCTTTTTATCCGAAAGTATTTCCAAATTTTTACACGTCAGTGATGCGCCGAATGGTCTAGCCAGCGACTCTCCTCCATTCGGCGGCATGCGCTGCAACCTTCGGTGACTAACCGAGGCTGTATATACCTCTTCCCAATCTTCATGGTTCCAAGCTGCAACTTGCAAATACGCTAGGATTGCTCGTGCACATACTGCTGCATGCCACACGCCGCGTTGTCGGGCAGCCCGACCGATCGCTGCCTAGCCTGGTGGACCACGACAGACGAGCTGAAAGCGTAAGGTAAGGACCGTTCTGCTCACCTGCTCACCGTTCTGGGAATAGATATACAGTACGCATGTAACGGCGACAGGTAGCTCTTTCTTGCTTCACGAAAGGAAAGCTGTGCGCCGACGGCACGTTATGCAGACCGAAAATCGCGGACAAATCCCAAACAATGTTCAACATTCTTCTAGTAATTATGGACTCCGTGCCAGACAGAGGGAAAGGCCCCGTTCCTCAAAATACGGAGCCGACTAGAGCGCATGCGCCGACACTGAACGGACGCGCGCGCGATTTGCCGTGCACCTAGTGGGCCCTGGGACGGGAGTAGAGTGCCGACCTGACTTGTTGACAATCCCTTTACCTTTGGACTCCTGCCATGGACTACTCCGGGTGTAGCAACCCCTGGACTTCCAAAGACCTTTTGCTAGGTGTACAACTTGGTGATCCAAGTAGTGGGCTTGTCATAGCTCGTAGGTGTGGACTGCTGGTACACAAGGTTAGCTCCATTTTTAGGCATGGACGGTTTTTGACATTTGGAGGATGTGTGTTGCTGGTGTAGTTTGTGTGAACCAGCCGTATTCTATTTGGGGGGAGGGGAAAATACGTCTACAAGTAAATTAAAAATCCTGCGAATTTAAAAAAGAGGCATATAGGGATGAAAGGGAGACAAGATCGGGATGGGAAACGTGAAGCATGGTTAATGAGCAGATTTGAGCACGCTGACACCCTCGATCCATCACACAATCCCTATATTTGGTTTGGTACTCCTGTTGGAAATAAAGGTTACTAAAAGCAAACATTCTTTCACTGTCCCCGTTGTATTTCCTGCACCCAGTCCCTTTAATTGAACTCCACGTACTCTATGACGGTGTTGGTTACTCCGTAGCATGACCATTTTGTATTATAAGTGCTGAGTATTGTAATGGTCAATGTTAATACTTCACCTAGGCAACAATATAGGGATTGTGTGATGGGGTCGGAGGTGTCAGTGTGCTCAAATCTGTTCATTAACCATGCTTCATGTATCCCATCCCTATCTTGTCTCCGTTACCATCCCTACAGTATATGCCTCTTTTTTAAATTCGCTGGATTTTTAATTTACTTATCTCCACTCATTTTTATATACTACTACGTATGTATCTCTGTGAAAGGGGGCAAGCCCCCTATAAAAACGAATAATAGAGAAAAATGCCTGTTGTCGTCATGGAAATGATGTAATACACATGCATACCAAGTTTCATCTCCATATGTGCTGCCGTTAGCAAGTTTGAGGAGTGAAGAAGTAAATGCCTGAGGCTATTTTGTTGTTGTTATAGTAATATGTGGTTGTCATGGAATCATCTCATACACTTTGTACCAAGTTTCATCTACATGAGTACTTCCGTTAGCAAGTTTGAGGAGTGAAGAGTGCCTGAATTTGGTTCAAACAGTATGTGGTCGTCATGGAAACATGTAGATTTCATGGAAACGATGCAATACACTTGCTCACCAAGTTTCACCTCCATGTGTGCTACAATTAGCAAGTTTGAGGAGTGAAGAAGTAGTTTCAAAGAAAATTGCCTGAGGCTTTTTAAACAATATGCAGTCATCATGGAAACATGTAATCGTCATGGAAATGATATAATAGGCATACATACCAAGTTTCATCTCTATGCGTGTTACCATTGGAGAGTTTGAGGAGTGAAGAAGTAATTTTAAAGAAAAGTGCCTGATGCTATTTGTTGTTGTGGTCGTCATGGAAACGATGTTACACACATGCGTACCAAGTGTCACCTCCATGTGTGCTACCGTTAGCGAGTTCGGTCGTGATGGAAACATGTCATCGTCATGGAAATGATATACATACCAAGTTTCATCTCTATGTGTGATACCATTGGGATGTGAAGAAGTAAATTTGAAGATAAGTGCCTGAGGCTATTTGTTGTTATATACAAACATATATTGTCGTGATTATGATGTTGGCTATTGAGTGCATTGTGTATACAAACTTTCGTTCACATTGCTCTTACCAATTGTGAGTTACTCTGACACATGTAGTATGCCCATTATATAATGTATTCCGTGGGTCAATTTTGTTGTTGGTTTTTACAGTAAATAACATTGTTTAAAACAAAAATATGACGTTACACATGTGGTTATGGATATGTACATTCCTACAAAATTTCATGGCTTTGTCTCTTTCGGTTTTTGAGTTATGCTGGTTGAAGAAGAAGAAGATGATCTTACACAATAATGACTCTTCGGTTTTCTTTTTCTTCCCTCTCTTTCCTTTGTTACACTCAGGGCAGAACATTTGCCACGGGGCACTTTACTGATTCGTAAGCATTCTGTATGAAGCCACTTGATTTTGCACTGTTCCTTGTCGCACTGAATCATTTCCCCCGACTCACCCTGGGAACAGAAGCACCACTTCTCTGTAAGAGGTTCCGGCTGACTTTCAAGGTTTTCTTGCTGATGAGGATGAGCATACTGTGGTAGTCCTGAATACCACTTTCCTAGAACTTCAGGGAGAAGGCCATGGATAAAACAATTCGTAGCTCTTTCCATGGCAACCTCAAGAAGTGGTTCTATCCGTTCTACGACTTTTCTCGCCAAACAACAAAGTCACCAAACTTAGTTCCACAGAGTTTCATCTGCACCTGTATTTGATAATGCGTGGTCTCGTTTTAAGGTGAAACTGCCATTAGTTTCTTGTAGGAAGAAAGCAGGCTTAGCTATTGCCTCAAGAAATGCTTTGTTCTTACATGAGAACGGGCATTTTACTTCAACCACCCATGTCCCACAGCAATCGCTCTTCACAACACTGTCAGGTGAGCTACCCAAATGAGGATATTCAATACTGAGCACTAAACCACTATGGGACATTTCACAACCAGGGTGATTCGGTTCTTGTACATAGGCTGCAAGAGCATCCCTTTAATGGATACACTCCCATTTAGTAGCTTTAGACTTAAAAATGTAGGCTCTCTGGGTAACAAATGCACTTAATCAGTGACTGTGATGGCTGGCTTAGATCAGGTTTTGCTGCAGCCTTAAACCAGGAAGCCGTGATCTTTCCTGCTCTCTGGGAATACTACATTTTAGATTTTGCCTGTTACTTTGTTACCTCTTCTACTGCTTTAACTTCATCTGATTTTAATGTCAAAGTGTTAAATGTCTGTTCGCACTCTGTTAATAATTCAGGATCAATGAAAAGCACTAAAGTGCAAACCCTCGGCGAACTGCGCATGTGCGGTACCGCTAATGGATGGGCTGGGTTATTGCATTGGCGTTTACTCGCGGTCTCCCGCTAGTAGATCACAGAGAGTGGCTAGCTACAGTAGTAGATAGCATGCGGGAGTCGATGCACACCCTTCGCTGTGGCTTCTTGTGCCTCCAATGTACACAGAGCAAGCGGATCAGGTCGAGGTGAGCCAGTTAATCGCGTCTAATACACGCATGCGCACCGCTTATTGATGGGTTGGGCCATGCAACGCTGTCCGCGACCGTGCCAGTTTGTCGCTCTCGAACGCAATCGTTTCAGCAAAATCGCCATTTTACTTTTCTAGTCCATGTACCGCTAAAGCTGTAGGAATCGCTCATAAGCCGCCTTGTTGCCTGTAGTGCGAGAATAGTCGTAGACAGACACACAGAGAGACACACGAACGACTACAGTAACCCTCGCTGCGCATGCGCGCCGAGGGTTAATAAGACAGACCAAGATATTCTTCCTCATAAAGATTCATTAATGAAGTTGGGAATTTTGCCTGTGATTGTAAGGGCAGATAAGCGTCACAAAACCCTGGAACAAGTGACAATATCACAGGCTTTGATCCTGCTTCGGAAAGGTTGTGGTAAAACGCATCAATTCCAACAACAAAAAAAGAGGGGCAGCAACGTCAACGTTCAGTGCCTACTGTAAATAGCGGTCCACAGCTTCGTCCAGTGAGGTGAAATCCAGTCTGGCTGAGCCATTACTAGGAGCTCCACTAACTCCTGGGATACTGTCACTGGCTTGGGCCTGTGGATAATGTGATAAAAAGTAGGCTCTGTTATTCCGAGATAAAGCATCCGCTAGGTCATTATGAGTGCCTCTTATATGGGCTGCAGACACCACGAATTTATATTTGGCCATGATAAATATAAGGCTGTGCATAAGATGCATCAGGGTGTTCTCCCTGCCTGAGCCTGAGTTCATCAGAGCTACGACTGCTGGGTTGTCTGACAAAAACTGCACAGATTTTCCTGTCCCCAGAGAGCCGCTGACATCACCACTAGGATCATCTCTCGCACTGAGATGTTGGGAGGCCTCCATGTTGGACGGCCGTTCAAATTGAAGCCATTTCTCGCCTTCGTAGGCTCCGCAACCCCAGGAGCCTGACGCTTCAGATGTCACCATGGGTTTGCCCTGTCAAAGCGTACAAGCATGGAGGTGCCGTTCCACAAACGTCACCACCATTGTATGTCAGATCTGGCTGAGACATTGAGATGCACAAAGTTGTCTAAGTTTTTACTGCTGTAGATAGGGTGGTTAGCCAACGTAGAAATGAGTGTCCTTGCCGAATTGCCTTGGAGGCGTGTTGTAAGTAGCCGATAAGAGAAAGAAGGTCTCTCTTCTTGCCTGCCTTTCGGCCTTCCCACTCGGACAGCAATTGCCGCAGTTGCTCCAGTTTATCTGCCGGTAGCCGAATTTCCATGTTTTCTGAGTCAAGTTCCATGCCTAGGAACGTGATAGTTGAGGAAGGAATTTCGCCTTTAGTGGTGTGCCTGTATTGTGGCAGGGTTGAATTGTACCCTCTAAATTATGTTTGCAATTGGACGAGCACGGAGGCCCCAGAGTAATGAAATCATCTACACCGGGCTCACTCCCCTCTTTTCCATGATCCACTCGAGAGCATCGGCTAAAGCTGCATATGAGAGGCGCCGACCGTACCCCGAACGGAAGGACTTTGTCCACCAGAACCTGCCCCTCCCACTGGAGGTGACGGTCCTCTAGGTGGACCTGGACTATGCCTGTTTAATATCCACTTTTGCCTTAAGCGCACCACGACCGAGGTGCTGGATTCCGTCAACGATTCGGTCGGTCGTTATATAGGAGATGCTGCACATGTCTCTGTCTATGCCAATTGTTCAAGTCTACAATGAGGCGCCATTTGCCCGGTTTTGCTTTCTTTGGGATAAAAATGGGCTTATTTGGCAGTGAATGTGAAGGACCTGTGCTGGACGATTGACTACGATGATGCGGTTGAGGAGTAGCTCCTGCTCTAAGTAGTGAGAGACCACATTTGGGTGCAGAAGGGCCGAGGCCATGTTGCTTCCACAGCTTGTCGGTGTCTTTGAGCTATTATAGCCAACTCGAAAGCCCCGTTTTACGCCATTCACCACGTATGATGCGAAGGAACTGTCAGGATGACTGCCCAGCTCACGCTCCCATACTTCACTGATTAGTGGGGTTGTTATCTCTAGTAGGGCTGCTGGTAGGCACACTGTTGATGTGGGCACATGGGCCTCTAATCTTGCTAGCTGAGGTGTGAAGGAGGGGCCTCCCATACCTGTAATGTTGAATGCATATTACCCCGATCGCATTGACTGCTAACAGTAGTTGCACAATCACTGCCTAATGATGCTTAACACAAGTTAACAAAGTAGTCACCATTAGCTACGTGTCCAACATCTCTCCCTGGAGGATGGCAGTGCTGGAGCCTTAGCACGTGGGCACTTCAAGACTCCGTGGTTGGTCTCACGGCAGCTAGAGCATACATGAGTGTATGCACAGGACTCCCCGTGGGGGCACTCCATACAATGGTACCTGTTCCACTTGCAGCATGCCTCTTCCGACCTGAGCTCTTTTTGAGGGAGGCTTGGGCTTTGTCAATGGCCTTTTCTGGCCAAGCTGGTCATCAGCAGGCCGGTAGGGGTATGTTGCTTTGACGTGGTCCATGGAGGTGCATATTGAGCACCACTGAGTGACATTCCCGTGATGCATTGGGCACGGATACTGCTGTCAATCTTAGACCAGTCTGTTTTACCAGTGTCGGCTGCCTCTTAGCGGAAGTACTGGTCATAGATAATCCAGGATGGCCATCTGAATTTTTTGCTCAGCCAGGCTATTATAGCCGAATACATGAAGAGCGTCTGGGCTCTTTTTGGGTGCTTGGTCACCAGCACCGCCGAGTAGATGGTGAAACCCACCCACGTTGCCAGGTCGGGAGTGTGCTTCTTCAACTGTACGTAGTGTGCCGCTTGGAGCAGCACAGTTTTTCCCTCCACGTCGCTGGACAGTGCTGACTGGGATTTGCCAAATCCCTTAGCAGGGGGGAACTCCCCTAGGTCCACAAATGTTCTTGCTAAGATTAATTCCACAAGGGGCTGGGACGCTCGCTGAGTTTGGTATATGGTCAAGTATTGACAGCCGAGACACTGGACCAGGTGTCCTCTTGCTCGCATAGCCCGTATCCTCTGAGCTTGCTAATTAGTGACGAAGGTCCCCCGATGCTTTGCTAGCTTGCGGCACTAGTGTTGTAGCCAATGTTGCCCCATAGCAAGGAGCCCGGATGGTCCTCAGCATAGTCATACCAGCATCACCCAAAATGCATTGGGCCCGGGCATGAGGCTAGCCAATACTGCCCTATAGGGAGGAGCTTGGTCCTAGGCCTGCGTCTGTCCAGCACTGCCCTATAGAGGGGAGCTTGGTCCGGGGCATGAGACTGCCCGGCACTGCCCTATAGAAGCTAGCTTGTTCCTGGGTATGAGTCCAGCCCACACTGCCCACTATTGGACCTGGGCATGAGTCAAACCAGCGCTGCCCTATACGAGAAGAGCTTGGATCCGGGTGAGGATCTGACCAGCACTGCCCTATACGGAGGAGCTTGGTCCAGGGCGTGACACTGCCCTATAGGGAGGAGCTTGGTCCCCAGCACGCAGCACTGAGAGGGGCTCGAGAACTAGGCCTGTTCCCTCATTTAGGCTTCTGCAATCCGGACCAGCACTGCCCTGTTGCTAGGAGCTTGGTCCGCTTGTCTCCGAGTGACGCCTACTGTGACCACTTTTGCCGCGGTGGAGATTCTGTCCTACGATTGGCTCCTAAGGCAACAACTGGCTTCGACTACTCCGCCCTAGCGCAACCCCTGCTCGTCCGAGTATAGTCACATTCAGAGGAATGGAGAACGGAGTGGCGTTACTAAAGGCACGAGTTAGCTGAATTTAGACGGTCGGTGAATTACGATTGGTGGTACCTGAGGCGGGTGTAGAGCTTGGAGGAGCTGTAGGTGCAGAAGTGCTCACCGCGATTAGCGCCGCCTGGACTCGTGCGTCGATGGAGGCCGTTATTGTCGTCATGGATTGTGCCATAGCCGTTTTCACGGACTGGTCCAGCATCGACTGAAGGGCCGAGATTGCAGACGTTGGCGGCATCGTGGTGGCACTTGGAGCGGTCACCATCGTGGTGGTAGTGGAGTGCCCCGGTGTTGGCGGCTGGCTGCCCGGCGTCGTAGACGTGGTAACCGCTGTCATAGCTGGGACATCCATCGTGAACAAATCAGCATCCAGTGCTCAATTGCATGCAGGGAGCTGACTAAAGCCACGAGGCCTGTAGCTATTCTTCGCCGATATTTATATTAACACTTTGGCCTGTTCCATGCTGTTAACCCTGTTTAATCTACTATATTAAACTCCATTGTATACAACCCTCGTTCCCAGCCCCTTTATTAGCCCTCGGCGGCTTTTAGTGCAGCTGTTTGTATATTGATTATGTCTAGCATTGCTCTTTCCATGTGTGATGTTCAAGATTTGCCTGACAAACCTTTCCAACCATGCCATTATCGGTTTCTTCACGCTCGTTCGGAAAAGCGTGGCTTGTGCGCACCTTCCAATCTGCTTGGTTTCATTGTTTCAAGTGGATTCACTACGATGCTAGTTTAGATGCTGCCTTCTGTTTTCATGTTGTAAGGCTTCAAAGCAAGGTAGTTAGGCTAAGGTGGATAAGTGAACAGAGTTTCATCGTGAAATGGTTCAATAATTGCAACAAGAGTTTTTATGAAGCATGAGTCGTCCGACTTCCACAAACAAGGTGTATTGTCACAACGAAGGGCGTGTATCGACTCACACATGCTATCTACTACTGTCGAAAATCCTCAGCACACATGAACATCAATCTCCTCTTCCTGCTACATTACTTCATTACAGTTTCACCACATGTGCAAACGGGTTAGGAATGTTGATTGTGGATAACTCCCTCTACACCCTGACCCAGCGGGGGTTGCGCACAATCAACATTGCAGAGCTGTTCGCTCATGTGTCGAAAATTAAATAGAGTACTGTTGGTGCAAGAGGAAGGGGAAACATTGGTTTTCAGTGGGCTAGAGACTTGCTATTCCTCAATTACGTATATGCATAGGGTTTAATGAGTTTTAATTAAACCAAGTTAACAGGTGCATTGCGGACAAAGGGGGGAGGGGTGTTAGCGGCCCTCGCATGCGTATCAGGCTTGGCATACACGTGGCAAGAGAACAGCAAGAGACTGGTGCTGCTGCTGAAGATTTTTTTTCCTGGAGCCAGTATCTAGCTCGGGGCCAGCCAAGATAACAGACGAGAGTGGCAGAGCTGGGAGTTCGAGGGAGACGGAGTCAGACAGCGGCTTCTCGAGAGCCCAGCTGGACGCGGTCGTGTCGGTGGTGCAGGGAAGCGTCCCGAGAGAGCGGCGGCAGCTCGTCCTCGAAGGCGGGTGAGTTAGCCGGGGAGAGGGTAGGGCGTGTCGAACCAAAAAATGGCTGGGCCGTGGGGGCGGCAGCGGGTGCCCAGGTTGAGCCCCTCGTGCTGTGTCACATGCAGGTACCGAACGCGAGCTGGGGGATATGCCACCGGAGGATACGGTAGCTGAGCTGGACCTCTCAACCGAAACATCCGAGGAGGGCAAAACCGACACAGACGGTATGGTGAATCCATTCGCAACACTTACCCCTTGGCTGACGTCAGCTACTGGTAGCTTATCACTGCCAAGTGGAGGGGTTGACAAGCCGTCCCGGTACTTGGTTGTAATGGCCCTATCCACGATCCCTATGAAGTTAGCCGAGAAGATTTGGAAGCATAGACTACGTGGAGATGGATGAGTTTCTCCCAGCCCCACTGGTGCAGCGGCTCGCGGAGCAGGGCCCCCGGGCGTCCTCCCTACAAGACAGTTTGGTGGGGCCCTCAGCCACTGCCAGGCTCTCCAGCAACACAGGTCTAAGCAAACGAGTGACGGACATCACTACCTGGATCAGGTGCTTTACCCTCTACATAGCAGTGTTGTCCAAGAAGAAAGCCGAGTTAGTGCCGAACATGGTGGCGCACCTCCACACCGTGCTCCGCCTACATCAGAGAGCATCTTACCAATTGGCATGGTTAGAATACGACATGCAGTTTCGTTCGAGTTAGCTGCATCAACCGATCGGTCCTGGTCGTCCGGCGATCCCTGGCAATACATCTCGTGCCTACCATCGGAGCGGTCCACAAGTGACCCCTTCGAAGTGTCAAAGCTGGATCAGGAGCCCCAGTACAAGGGAAAGGGGAAGCGTCCACCGGAGCAGGACGGAGAAAAAGGGTGTTCCCAAGGGAAGCCGCCAGCCAAGAAAGTGAAGAAAGGGGTGTGCCAGCTTCACAACACGTCCCTAATGGTTGCCCATACGGTAAGGACTGCATCTTTCTGCACCGATGCACTAGCTGCGGTGCAATGGATGAACACGGGCGATCAGCCTGCCCCTATCGGCCTGACAGCCCCGCTGGCCCATTCAGAGGCTCGTACGATAACCCTGCAGAGGAGGTAGTCAGTCGTCAGGACTAGGACAGTGTTGGACTCATAAACTCACTTATGTTAAGCTCTGTAACGGCAGTTATGAAGCATGGGAGGAAATAAGGGGGCAGGGCCAGTTAGCTCGGCGGGAGTGGCTGGCAGGGCTCCCAGGGGCCCAGGGCTGGGGGATGGCCAATATTGTTGTTATTCCCCCCAATCGCGCGGGAGTGGAGGCCTACCCATACATGCAGGACCTGAGAGAGGTACGAGGAGTGGGACAAAGCGTTGGAGTCCCACCAAGGAGGTCCGGGCCTACATTCTCAATGGCATCCGCCATGGCTTCCACATCGGATTCGACCAGAGGGTCACATGTCATCCTGCCACCTCCAATATGAGATCAGCCCTGGAGAATGCAGAGGTAATCCGGGAATACCTGTCTAAGGAGATCTTGCTTGGTAGAGTCATTGGTCTGGTTAACCAGGAGGGGGTACCCGCCGGCACCCAAGTCAGTCCCTTCGGTGTACGCCCTTTTACGCGACAATGTTGTCACCTTTATGCAGGTAGTCCCCGAGGCAGAGAGGTATCCAACCCCTATCCCGGAGGCTCTCGTGGACCTCACAGTCAGGGAGCAACCAGATTGGACATTGCCACACTGGGTTCATCTGTTCAACGCCTGTTGCAAGCAGGTTTAGCCCAGTCGACACAGAGGGCGTACGCATCTGGCAAAAGGAGATACTTGGCCTTCTGCCAGGCGTGTGGCATGTCCCCTCTGCCAGCCACGGAGCAAAAACTGGTAAAGTTTATTGGCCATCTAGCAAACCAGGGGATCAGGCACCAGACCCTGAAGTCTTACCTCTCAGCGGCCCGGCATCTCCAGATCCAGTGCGGAGGTGGTGACTTTAGGGTGGAGAGCATACCGTTGTTAGAGCTAGCACTGGAGGGGGAAAGATCTCCCAATCACACCACGTGTACTCTATCGCTTGTGGGAGGTGTGAAACAAAAAAGCGGCCGACCACAATGCAGTGATGATGTGGGCTGTGTGTTGCGTCGGGTTCTTTGGGTTTCTCAGGTCAGGGGAGGTGGTCGTCTCAGACATCAGGGTCGTTTGACCCGAACCAACACCTGTCCCTCAAGGATGTGACAGTAGATAGCAAGGAGCGCCCAAACTGCATATATGTGCGGATAAAGCAATGGAAGACGGACCCTTTCAGAGCAGGAGTCACGGTCTACCTCCACAAGACAGGTCAGCGGCTCTCCTATCCTACTTGGTGGTGCGTGGCGAGGAGGATGGTCCCCTATTCCGCTGAGAGGGGGGGGGAACCGCTGACACGACCCCGTCTAGTATCCATCTTACGGGAGGTGCTGTCTCAAGCCGGCCTGGATCCCGAGAAGTATGCCGGTCATAGCTTCCGGATCGGGGCAGCTACCACGGCAGCAGCCTGTTGGGTGACCGTCGACCTTATTGGCGAGCAGGAGCGAGCCAACCTAGTCGTTCGCTTGAGCGGATTTTTCGGTATATATTTATCGTCCGTTCGTACGTCATGTAAGTGCGGATGCGCGGCTTCGTTACGTGCTGCTTTTTATCCGAAAATCATTTCCAAATTTTTCTAACAAAAATTCTAAGCAAGAAGGGTGTCGGAGAGGAGGTAGGGGGTGTCTAGGGGGCTTGGTGGGGGGTGTCGCTGTCATGGGTGTAGGGCGTGGCTAGCAGGTAGGGCGTGGCTAGTGGTAGTTGGGGAATGCGTGGTCAGGAGCCAAAACCAACCCATGTCCCAATCGCAATGCTGTCTGGCATGCAGTACGTTAGAGACTATAGCAATGAACCACGGCGTGTACACGGAGAATGCTCATATCCTTGCAAAGCCTGAGTGCTCTTCTTGGCAAAAGTGCTGACTCAGCAGGTTGACTGGGTTGCTTGGGCAAGTGTACAACTCTAAGGAGCATGTGATTCAATGATGAGGTGTGCTCAATCTCCTCTGACCCAGACCGTATTTTCCTCCCCCTTTCCCCCGCCCACTGTGCGTCCGCGAAGGAAAAATATGGTGAGTTCACGAAGTCCTGCTGCCATCCCCTTATCAGCCCTCTCAGAAAGCCTGTGCCTGCAGTCGGTAAAATTTGCCGTCTAGTTCTATGATACGTACATGCCTAATTCCACATGTATATATCTTAACTAGTGAATGACCAGAACTTTTTTGTTGCACGTGTTTATGTACATAGGATGAGAACAGGCTGCAGGAGAAGTTTGCTCATAGTAGCTCGGTACAGCTAACGAAGAGCCTTCAAAAGATATCAAGCCTTCAAAAAGATTTACATGAGGTAAAAAAGGTGATGTAATGTGTTTGATATGGCATTAATTTTAATATACCCAGGTAGAGTTTCAGATACATCGCAATCAGCTTGACCGAGAGAGCCAGGATTTGATGCACTTGAACAGTCTTGGTTAGACCAACAAAGTTTTGTTGTGTGCATTAGTAACCAGGCTCTTATTATTGCAGAGAAACATCTTAAAAGTGTAGATCTGCTGCTCAATCACTTTACGGCTGTTCTAGCAAGCAAGGAAGACCTCCTTAGCCGCCTACAAAGCAGCTCAACAGATAACTCCTTGCAGGTGGAGGCGCCATTTCACAAGTAAGTCCTAGTACTAGTATATCATTTTTGTGGCTTAGTTAGCTTGGTCTGTGTGTCTTGTTCTGACCATTTTCCAGTGCTGTCACCGCTCTCTTGCACGTGCATGCAGCAGAACGTGCATTGCGCCAAGACTTTTGCATATTAATTGTGGTATTGCAATATTATGTTCTCTTTCTATGCACATATGCATTTAGTAAACCATTCTTCCCACAGGAACCTAATGGATATTGTTCACTCTATTAGTCCAACACTTTCAGAACTTGCATCAAATACCAGCTACATACAGTCTGCGTCATCAGTGGACCTCACAAACCTGGTAAGCCTGTAGATGTTCTGATTGCTTTTCTAACCTGTTCGTTAACCCTCAGCATACTTGCGCAGCGAGGGTTATAGTTTGCGAGCGGGAGAGAACTAACCTAGTGGTCCGAACTGCGCGATTTTTCTATGTCTGTACGTCGTTCAACTGCACATGCATTTGGATTATGCGCTTTTTATCCCAAATAATTTTTACATGCTGCCTAGCTTAATCCTCGATGCGTGATCTAGCCAACGAAAAATCTCTCATCCAATCGACGGCATTCGCTGCACTCTTTAGTGCCTGACCGAGGTTATACCTCTTTCCAATCTTCGTGGTTCCAAAGTGCAAGTTGTAAATAGGCTAGGATGGCTTGTGCAGATACAGGCATTGTGTGCTCTCTCCCCCTCGCCAAAAATGCCCTGCTAGTACTTGGTTTGTCACTCCGTCTGTCCGTCCGTCTGTTTCTCTGTTACCAAGTTTTCTGCCTCTACTTGCACCAAAAACCGCTACCGATGGGTTGACCATCTGGCTTCACCATCTGGCTTTTTTTAAATTGGTAAAAATGCTGTGTTTTAATTAAAGTTATGGTGTGAAACCCAAGTGAACGACCTAATACGTATGCAAATTAGCGCTGGCTTTCCTCGACCAGATCAGCTTGCTCTGCGTACCTTTGAGGCACCAGAAGTTGCAACGCAGCGAGTATCTAGTAGTGTAGCTAGCCCGTGACCGACTCTCAGTGAGCTGGTAAGACCACGACTCAGTAAATGGACCAGCCCATTATCCCTTTCGCTCACAAAATGTTGTAAATTTACACACTTCTAGAAACGTCAACAAAACTCGGACAATTGTGAACTTTGACCCGGTAGGCGGGCAGCATGGTGGCATTATCTCATGTAAAAACCACCCACGCATCTTCAGAAGTGGTCGGTTTGCATTTGGATGTGGCGGTCGGAGCTTTGATGTCATCTACCCTTTCAGTACTAAAAGCAACAAGGTCCGGGATTGAGTGAGACATGTCATAAAATTTCTCAGCAGGCTGAAAGGCAGGCACAGAGGCTGTGCGTAGGTCTGTAGAATGGCAGAAAGAAAGATCACCACAGCGCGCGCGTGCGGGATGAAAGGGGTGTGTCGATTTGGGAAGAATGACACATGCATGCAGGAGCTGAAAACGCCGATCAGGTGCAGAAGCTGAATTTGTGACTGAAAGAGTTATTTGGCAGTAACAGCACAGGCTGTATATATATACTGCTGCGCTTGTGCACATCTTGTGCACCGAGGTTGGCCTTGATCTTGTGTTTAGTTTCAATCAAGTTAAGGTGCATGAGAAAGCTAGAAGCTTGTTTGTCTGTCTAGGGAACGTAATACACATGATTTGTACAAC